AAGGAGAAGCAAAGAAACATTCATGGTACTTGGACAATGGCTGCTCACGACATATGATAGGAGAAAAGCATATGTTCCAAACTCTAACTCTGAAAGAGGGAGGAACTGTGGGGTTTGGAGGAAACCTGAAAGGAAGGATTATCAGTACATGTACTATTGGTAATTCCTCTATTTATGTTAATAATTTCTGGTTAGTAGATGGACTAAAACATAACCTACTGAGCATTAGCCAGTTTAATGAGAGTGGTTATGAAGTTGTGTTTAATAATAATAATAGTTGTATAGTCATGAATGAATCTAAGAAGTTCATAGTGTTCAAAGGTAGGAGAAAAGGCATTGTTTATAAAATTAATTTCTATGAATTGGATTATTAGAAGATACTTTTCCTTCTACCAGTGAATGATGAAAAATAGATCTGACGTATAAGGTTATGTCATGTTAACTGTAGATTAATCTCCAAACTTAGCAAGTTAAAACTTGTTAAGGGTTTTCCAGATCTCAATTATCACTCATATGCTCTTTGTGTAGCATGCCAAATAGAGAAAATTAATAAAACCTCTTTTAAAACTAAAAACATTGTCTCTACCTCCAGACCCTTAGAAATAATTCACATTGATTTATTTGGTCCAGTTGGTACCACAACAATCAATAGGAAGAAATATGGATTATTCATTATTGATAACTATAGCAGGTGGACTAGGGTTAAATTCGTAAGAACTAAGGATGAGTCATATGATGTGAAAAGTGATCATGGAGGAGAATTTGAAAATGAGCCATTTGAAAACTTTTGTGAAAAATATGGAATTCTCCATGAGTTATCTTCTTCTAGAACTCCACAATAAAATGGAGTTGTAGAGAGAAAGAACATATCTTTATACGATATATCCAGAACCATGATCCTTGAAAACAATTTTCCTAAGTACTTATGGGCAGAAGCTGTAAATACAACATGTTATGATCAGAATAGAATCTACACCAAACCAATTATGAACAAAACTTCATGTGAACTGTTCAAGGGAAGAAAACCTAGTATACCTTATTTTCATCAGTTTGGATGTACATGTTACATCTTAAACAATAAGGTCTATCTAAAAAAAATTGATGCCAAATCTCAAAAAGGTTTTTATTAAGATACTCTGAACACTCTACGGGATAAAGGGTGTATAACACTGAAACCAAAATGGTTGAAGAGTCACTACACATCAAATTTGATGACAAAGAGCGTGACGGTAAAATGTTAGAGCTATTGAAAGTTTTGAAGAAATCCATGTATTTGAAGACACTCTTGAAGCTAGTGGTTCATAAGCTACCAGGTCATCAAAAGCTAGTGGTTCAAAAGTTATCAACCCTTCAGAAGTTGGTGTTCCAAAAGATGATCCAACCTTTGAAGTTCATCTAGGTGAAGAATATTCTGAAGAAACTCATGATAGCTCTCAAGAAGCAACTTAATCCAATAAGAATTTCAAGTATAAGTCTTCACATCTAGAAGAGTTGATCATTGAAACAAAAGATAATCCTCTAAAGACAAGATTTGAATTCAGAGAAGTACATTCAATGTTAGGACTCATATACATGATTGAGCCTACTTCTATTGATGAAGCTCTATATGATGATGGATGGATTATGGATATGCAAGAAGAGCTTAACCAATTTCAAAGGAATGAAGTTTAGGATTTGGTCCCCAACCTCATAAGAAGAACATTATTGAAACAAAATGGGTGTTTAGAATAAATCTCAATGAGAAATGAGAAGTGGTAAGAAATAAAGTCAGACTTGTAGCACAAGCCTACGTTCAGCAAGAAGGTATAGATTTCTATGAAACCTTTCCACCCGTTGCAAGGTTAGAGGCAATTAGGTTACTCCTATCATATGTTGTTAATCATAATATTATTTTATACCAAATGGATGTTGAAAGTGAATTTTTAAATGGTGTCATTTCTGAAGAAGTGTATGTCAAACAACCATCGGGGTTTGAAGATTCAATTCCACCAGAATATGTTTTTAAATTTAAGAAATCACTTTATGGCCTTAAATAGGCTCTAAGAGCTTTGTAAGATAGACTAAGTAAATTCTTATTATAAAATGGTTTTCAAAAAGGTCAATTTGAAACTACATTGTTCATAAAGACACTGAAAAGTTAAATCTTAATTGTCCAAGTTTATGTACATGATATCATTTTTGGTTCTACTAATGCTACTCATTGCAGAGAATTTTTCGAGTTAATGCACTCTGAATTTGAAATGAGCATGATGGGAAAGCTGAAGTTATTTCTTGGGATTCAAATCAACTAGTGCAAGGATGGTGTCTATGTTCATCAAACAAAGTATACAAAGGAGCTTTTAAATAAATTCAAGCTGGAAGATTGCAAGATCATGGCTACGCATATGCATCCTACCTGCAATATGAGCAAAGAAGAAAGCAACACCAAAGCTTGTCAGAAGTTGTACAGAGGTCTGATTGGCTCTTTAGCTTACTTAACAGCTTCTAGATCTGATATTTTATACAGTGTCTGTTTATGTGCAAGATTCCAATCAGATCCTAGAAAGTCTCACTTAACTACTATCAAGATAATCTTTAGGTATCTGAAAGGAAACACTAATCTAGGACTTCTTTATAAAAAATCCCTAGATTAATAGTTAGTTGGATTTTGTAATGCTGACTATGCTAGAGATAGAATTAAGGGAAAATCCACTAGTGGAAACTGTCAATTCATAGTTGAAAACCTTATATTCTAGGCTAGTAAGAGACAAGCAACCATTGTTTTGTCTACAACAGAAGTAGAATACATCTTAATTGCTAGTTATTGCACACAACTACTCTGCATAAAATATCAGTTTGAAGACTACCAAATATGTGGAAGTCGTATTCCAATTTTCTGTGATAATACTGTTGCTAGAAACAAACACACAGAAATAAAACATCATTTTATTATAGATTATGTTCATAAAGGTGTAATAGATATATATTTCATTGATATTGATCATCAATGTGTAGATATATTTACAAATCCTTTTACAATTGAAAGACTTTATTTTATTAAAAATAATCTTAACATGCATTTTATAAAAGAATAGTTTTTGTTTCTGAATGGAGGACCAGATTCTGCTGGGGATCAGAAGTTACTATGTTCAAAGGCTCTGAATGAGCTTCTGATGAATAGTAGCATATAATGCTTTCAACCTCTGTTGTTCAAAATCTTATGACATGTCTCTGATAGTACATAAGTGGAAAATCTTTTCAACTTTTTTTAACATTTGTCCCAATTATTTTCCACATGTATGAAAAGTCTTCTGACACGTGTATTAGTTAATGGGTATCATCCATTCAGTATTATATAATATTAGTTTAATTATGCATGTTATCAATTGTCTTAAGTCTGAGTATCGTGACATAGTGTAAGAGATAAAATTAGTTGACTCAATGTAACACTTAGCTTTAGCTTATGGTTTGTTACAAGTCCATTGATCGGTCACCAATTCGACTAGTTTTATGTCACTTATTCGACATGAATCCACGAAATTGGTAACACTTTGTTTCATCTTTTTTATTATTTTTCAAGTTAATTGTACTTTTCGCATTTTCATTCTCGAATTACTACTATTATTAGTTTATGTTATTTTATTGCATTTTATACGTTTTGTGGTAGTTTTCTATGTTCTCATATCCAGGCTAACAGTCTTAAAGAACTTGCGCGAGAAAGCGGACATTCCCGAGATTTTCAAGGAGCTTTTTGAAGAGTACAGTGGTCCTAACACGGTCACCGGTGTCACCTGACACAGACCGTGTCAGGAAAAGAGTAAAAGATGAAGATTCTGAGGAAGTCAGGGGGCTAACAAGGGTGCCCGTGTTAGCTGACACGGTCTGTGTCAGCAAAGCTGGTATTGAAAATTAAAACGCACACAATCTGGAGACCAACACGCCCAACCATGTGGTGTGACATGGTCCGTGTTGGCCATGACGCTATAATATCTAATTTTCTTGGTTTTTTATGGAAATTGACTCTGGGGGGTATTTTGGGAATTTGCTATGATTGTTAAGTGATTTGTGGCTATTTAGGTTTGTTTTTGAGAAGATAGAAGGGACTTTTTGACGAGAGAAGATTGGGAACGGTAAAAAAATGGTGCTTTCAAGAGATTTGGAGACAGAGATTCCTTCATGAATGATAGCAATTGAAGATCGAAGAATCCATACCTTTTGTAATGTCTAATTTTATTATTGCTTTTCTTTTTAACACGGTGAGAGGCTAAACCCCCAATGCTAGGGGGTGTCCCTGATTTGTCATTGTAACAATGTTGACTTCTTTGTTTTTATCAGTACAATAGTTCTTCGCATCAATTTAATTGTTTCAGAATATTTTATTATTTTCCCTATCGGACCAATAGGGTTATACTCTTCTTAACATGGTAGAGCTGGACAACCGTGTTAAGGTTTTCTAAACAATTATATTACATTAGATATCATCTAAGACTAGGGTTATCCTATAATAACTGAAAATTGTTGATAATCAAAGGCTTGACTTCATCACTAATTTTAATGGACTTTGAAATTAGGATAAAGGGTTAAAGGTTTTTCACTAAGGACTTAAGGAAAAATAATCTTAAGAACTGGTAGTTGAGGTGATGAACTCATATGGAAAATCACACACTTACCCCTAGCATGTTACTCATACTAGTAAAAAGTCATCATTTACATTATGTTCATTCTCATAACCATTGAAGTTAATTTCTACACCAAACGAAAAATTTAGTTTTTGAATAATTGAACCACGCATTAAACTTGGTACTTATACGTAATCCTCAAGATTGATATTCAGGGGAAATTCCCTCTTATTACTACAAAGCAAAATAGTACACTTGATATTTTACCGAGCATTCACTTAGCTTGAGCTTTAGCAGTTAGGAGTTTGTTACAAGTTTAGTTAGATTGTGTGATAACAAACTTCACCATTAGTACTTGTATATATAATCTCTTAATTTCACTTGCCAAAGGTAAGAAGAAGAATGAAAACTTTCACATTACAATTATCCATTTCTAATATGGTACCAGAGCCTGGTTCAGATCTAAACCACAGTTCTCCTTCATCTTCCTCAGTGGCTTCTCTCTCCTCCTTCCATTTCTTCACACTACATCAACAATCATCAATGGCAGACTCTGTAAATCAGAACTCGTGCACGGAGAATCAAGAACCTGCATGCAACAACTCTTCCAACTTCTTCACACTAAACTCCAACAACACATATGGTCTGAAACTCTCAATTCAGATCAAAGACAAGTATCTCATATGGAATCAATAGGTTGAAGGAATTATACTCACGCATAAGATGCATAGGTTTGTTGTGAATCCCTAAATCCCCGTAAAGTTCATGACAGATCAAGATCGTCTACTGAACAAGATCTTCAAAGAATACGAGGCATGGATTATTCAAGAACAAGCACTATTCATATGGTTGTTATCAACCATATCTGAATTTGTTCTTCCAAGAGTGATTTCTTTCAAACATTCATATGACGTATGGGATAAAATCCACAAGTTTTTCAATGCTCAAATGCGAGCTAGGGTTCGTCAGCTGTGAGTGAAATTGAAGTCCACAAAGAAAGGCAATTATTAAATCACTGAATTCATGCTTAGAATCAAAGTTATGGTGATTTCTCTTCTTGCTGTAGGAGACTCAATTTTGGAGCAGGATAAAATTGATTCAGTCCTCAATGGATTACCAGAAGAATACAATCCTTTTATGATGCAAATGTGTGGAAGCACTGAGCCACTTGCTATGTGTGATGTAGAATCTCTGTTGTATGTACAAGAAGCTCAACTTGACAAGTTTAGGCAAGAATTAGTTATGGCACAAGTCTCTGGGAATGTAGCTCATGCAAGTAATAAAGCAGGTGGATCTCATGGGAACTTCAAGAATGTTAGAATAAGATGAAGTGTTTATAGAGGCCGTGAGCATGGCAAAGGTCTCTATGTCCAAGGTAATAGACCTCTATGCTAACTGTGTGGAAAACCAGGACATCTTACATTGGATTGTTGGCGCAAGTATGATGAATCTTTCAGTCCTCATAACTCTCAGTAAAGAACACATGAGACTCAGGGTGATAAAGACACCAAAGGAGAAGGAACTACTTCTGGAACTCAAGCAACAACAATGATATCTACTGCAACTCAGCCATCTGCATTCACTCAAAAGTACTCTCTCTTTGTTGATCTTGATTCTTAGGCATGGTTTTCTGATTCAAGTGCCTATCATCATCTTACACCTTTTGAAAAATGTCAGCATAGTAGAAAACCCTATAGGGGCAAGTGTCAAGTTCATGTAGGAAATGGTCAAAGCTTACATATTAAAACAATTGGTAACTCTCATATCTCAAATAGATTTATTCTTAGTAGATTCTCCATGTTCCTGCTATTATCAATAATTTGTTGTCTATCTCAAAGTTTTCTCATGATAATCAGTTGTGTTTGGATTCCCCCTAACAAATGTTATGTTAAATGCCAGGGGTTCTAAGGAAGTACTTCTTGAATAGTTTCTTGAATCTAATGGACTCTATTACTTCCCTAATCTCACAATGTTCAAAGCTAGGTCTGCTGAACATGTAATAAGTCATAGCTTTTCTTCTACTGTCTCAAGTACACGTAGCTTAAGTAATTCTGATGTACTACAGCATTATCTATTTGGACATGCTAATTTTAATATTGTCAAAAGCATACTCAAATTGTGTAATATACATGTTCGTAATAAAGATTCTCCTGATTTTTGCAAGTATTGTTACTTAGGAAAGTCTCATAGATTGCATGTCCTTAAGTCTTCTAATACATATGATAAGTCTTTTGATCTAGTTTACACTTATTTATGGGGTCCCTCCCCTAGTTCATCTATTTCTGGTTTTAGCTACTATATTGCATTTGTTGATGCCAAAACTATATACACTTGGATCTATTTACTCAAACAAAAAACTGAATACATAAGTTCTTTTAAATTGTTCCTTAAATATGTTCAAACACAATTCCTAACAACCATAAAAGTTGTTCAATCTGATTATGGAGGGGAGTTTAGACCTTTTACTAATCTTCTTAATTACTTAGGCATCATACATAGATTTACTTGTCCTCATACATCCCATCTAATGGATCTATTGAGAGAAAACATAGGACCATAGTTGAAATGGGTCTAACTCTACTATCTCATGCTAACCTAACTCTTTAATATTGGGAGCATAGTTTGCTCACACAACATATATAATGAATAAACTTCCCACTATTGCTTTAACCAATTTCAATTCACCTTTTTATTGCCCTTTACAATAGAACTCATGACTATAAATCTATGAGAGTATTTGGATGCTCTCGTTATCCCTTGTTGAGACCTTACAACAAACACAAACTTGAGTTCAGAAGTGTGGGATGTGTATATCTAGGACCCTCTCCTTAACACAATGGTTATAAATGCCTAAGTTTAACTGGCAAGATCTACATATCTAAAGATGTGATCTTCAATGAAAAGAAATTTCCTTTTCCATCTATGTTCTCTTCCAAAACTAACATTACACAAGACACATCACTTGACCATTACCCTTTCCAACTGTCCAGAATTCCATTTCAGATAGTCCTGCTATAAGTACACTACAAATATTGCCTCAATCATCCTCTAACCTACTCCCTACCCCACCTGATAGTGGCAACACATTATCTACTATGTCTCTATCAAACTCTCAAGTTGTACCCTCTATTCGTGAACCTTTGTCACCACAACCACAAAACTTAGGGAACACTAATGACCAGTATACCCCCTCAATATCTCCACCACCCGACTTTGCTAATACATCTGAAAACTACTATGACAACCTACCTATTACAACTATTGATACATCCCTATCTAATTTTATACATAGTTTGCACCCAAGCAATCCTCCTCCGTAAAATGACCACCCTATGTTGACTAGAGAAAAAATAGGAAATTCAAAACCAAAAGCCTTTATAGCACACACAGAACCAACCAGTGTAAAATAAGCTCTGCTAAAACCAGAATGGGTGCAAACCATGAAAAGTAAATATGATGCTGTCACGGCTAACCAAACATGGAGCCTTACAAAATTTCCTCCTCATAGACAAGTCGTTGGTTGTAAATGGGTATTCAAGGTCAAAGAAAATCCATATGGAAGTATCAACAAATACAAAGCTAGATTAGTTGCAATAGGTTTTCATCAGCTACAAGGTTTTGAGTTTAATGAAACCTTCTCTCCAGTTGTGAAACCATCAACCGTTAAAGTTATCCTCAGCTTAGCTCTCACCTACGGATGGGATATCCAACATATAGATATCAATAATTCTTTTCTAAATGGAACCCTCCAAGAAGAGGTGTACATGGTTCAACCTCCAGGCTTCATTCAACAAGACAAGGATCTGGTGTGCAAACTCCATAAAGCTCTTTATAGACTTAAACAGGCCCCAAGGGCTTGGTATGAAAAGCTTACTCAAGCACTTCTGCTCTTTGGCTTCAGTCACTCAAAATGTGATCATTCTCTCTTCTTATACTCCAAGCAAGGTATCACCATCTATGCACTTGTTTATGTTGATGACATCCTTTTAACCGGCTCATCTTCACAACTAGTATAAGATCTGATCATTAAAATTCACAAAGCTTTTTCTCTCAAAAGGCTTAAAAAACAAGAATACTTCCTGGGCATAGACAAAGATAATGCATACTTGGTGTTGACTCAAGCTAAATACATCAGAGATTTACTTGAAAGAGCAAAAATGGCCAATGTCAATGGTGTGCCAACTCCTACGCTTAACACATGTAAACTTAGCAGAACTGGCTCTCAAGTGTTCTCTGATCCTAATTTGTACAGATTAATTGTAGGTGCCTTGCAATATGTCACTTCAACCAGGCCTGATATTACATATAGTGTTAACATGGCTTGCCAGTTCATGTCAGCCCCCCTGGATACTCACTGGGTAGCAGTTTGCAGAATTCTTCGTTATCTCAGTGGTTTTATCTCATGGTCTAGTATTCTCTCCTTCTACCTCAACTCCAAAATTTTCCTTAAGGGCCTATAGTGACTCAGATTGGGCGAGTGACCTAGATGATCGCATGCCAACATCTGGATCCTGCGTATTCTTTGGTCCGAACATTGTGGCATAGAGCTCCAAGAAACAATCTCTTGTGGCCAGGTCTAGCATGAAAGCAGAATATAGGGCACTAGCTCACACCACATCTGAACTGTTATGGTTAGAATCACTCTTGACTAAACTGAAAATTTCTTTCTATCCTCCTACGTTATTATGTGATAACTTGAGTGTTATCATGCTATCACATAACCCATTCCTTCATTCTCTCACGAAGCATATTGAACTTTATATTCATTTTGTGAGAGAATGTGTGGTGGCCAAGAAGCTAGTTATTCAACATATCCCAGCTTTTGCTCAGCTCGCAGGCACACTTACCAAACCACTTGGGACATTATCTTTTCAAGGCTGATGAAGCAAGCTCAAGGTGCTTCCATGCTAACCCCCTTGATATTGAGGGGGCGTGTAAGAGATAAAATCAGTTCACTCAATGTAATATTTAGCTTTAGCTTATGGTTTGTTACAAGTTCACTTAGCTTGAGGTTTAGCAGTTAAGAGTTTGTTACAGGTTCAGTTAGATTGTGTGATAACAAACTTCACCATTAGTATTTGTATATGTAATCTCTTGACTTAACTTGCCAAAGGTAAGGAGAAGAATGAATACTTTCACATTGCAATTATCTATTTCTAATACATAAGAACTATTTCTTGTAATCATGAAAACCTCAACAGTTTTAAGGATTTACATGATCTTCTACTGACTTTGGAAACAAACTTGCGGGAATACTCACTTAATAGTTAGTTGCTTACAAATTTAGTGAATTATCATCCAAGATCTAAATTACCAATGATAATTTTGTCTTGAGGAGGCATATCAACGCATCTTAGATGATATATAGTAATATTATATTAATCTATTTATAATATATTAAATCACAAGCACACACCTTTATGTTGACACATTATCTTAATTTATGTCACATCATCTATCTATTTTTATATGTTATCTACCAAAATTCATCTAAAATCATATATTGAATCTCTATTTGAGGTCACCGATTCAAATACCGACAAATGCAAAAATATATTAACTAAATAACTACTTTCATATATATTATTTTCGTAAAACTTATAGAACAATATTTCTATTTTTCTAGAAATTAGTTTTGGCAAAATATCTTTTTTTGATCTCAAATGTTAACGTCAAGATTTATTTTGGTTCCTTAACTTAAAAAAAAGTTCATATTGATCCCTTAACTCTTCAAAACGCTTCATTTTAGTCTTTTTTTTTGTCTAATTAGTAATGAATTTAGCGTCTGACTTCTGAGTTTTTTTGTCGCTAATTAGACAAAAAGGATTAAAATGAAGCGTTTTTAAGAGTTGAGGGACCAAACGTTGTCATTATTTTTTAATTATAAAAATAAATGATAAGAAATTTTAATATACATTTTCAATATAATATCTCTAAAATAATTTTAGATCCTTTCTATTTTAAAATAATGAAAGTTATAACACTTATTATGGTCTAATATGTTATCTAATTCGTTCAAATTTTAATGGATTATGTTTTTTGTCCAATCCACAATTTTCTTGTCAAAACTGAACCAAATTGATCCGGTCATTTATAAATTGATTTGGATTGAATAAAATTATTTGTATAAAATGAAATAAAAATTTAATTATTTTTAATTCTAAATAAATTGTTAAACAATTCAATACAATTGCACACATTTGTAATACTTAAATTGGATGAAAACATCATATAACATCTAATAAGTTTTATCCAGATGTCTTAACACTTAATAATAATATAACAAAATTAAAAAACATATCATTTTCACAAAATCCATAAATTAAAAATAATACAAAAACAAATAAATAACATGTAGTCTTAAAACTATATAAAATCATTGATCTAATATTAACCTAATAGCAATATTGTTGGATAATGAATTATGAGAGAAAAAATGGATTTAGTATGTGTTAATTTTGTTTTTCATTTAAAATAACAATAATAAAATGATAAATTAGTGATGCTACATGAATAGATTGATCAATAAGTTCACCAATTTAGAAATTCAAACTTAATACATAAATTAAAGTTATGCAGGTTATTGTCGGTTGAATTGAGTCTACTTGTAAATCGTACATAAATAGGTTAGAATAATTAAGACAATTTTTCATTGCACACTATTGTACTCTAAAATTTTTCCTCCGGTTATTCAATACAAATTATTTCAATAGGTCTCCCCGTGTTTCTAGGATTCTCAATTGCTCAAGACTACTCAAGGATTGATTAGACAAACCCTCCTCATAAGCAGTTGACCTACAACTAGGGTTTTGCTTCTCCTAAGGAAAATTGAACTTCTAATGCCTCAAGGGAATTTCATGGTTTCTCATATGTCTCAAAGGATCTTCATGCCAAATTCCAAGCCTTGCAGCACAAGTTTGCTCAGTCAATTAATCAAATGATTGAAAATCAACTATATTGGGAAAAAAGTCAACTTTGACCAATTTACAGTCAATGTAAGTGTTTGTTTGTTGGCATTTTTTTTTGGTAAAACCAGAGTTGCGAATGTCATGACTGATGTCATAACATTCTGGGATAAAGGTACATTCTGCAGAAAAGAATGTCATATAGGAACTACTCAGTATGAGTGTTTATCATGATCATTAAGCAATGATCATATATATTGTATTCTACCAAAATCAGTGAGCAGGATTCTTGTTGTCATAACCAATGTTAAGACATCCTGTACTGATCTAGCATTTGTGCAATTTTATTATTCCTGAGAATTTTCAGGAATCTGGTTGCTTCTCTGAGTTGATGTATACAGTCCGGATCAGATGCTCACGTGGACATTAGGTTAACCTTGATTAACCCTAATTTGGTATGATGAAAGCCTAAGACCAAGTCTTTAGGTTAACTTGAGTTAACCCTATCTATTTTCATGGAAGCCCTAACTGTAGAATAATCTGCCTATATATTCCTCATGAAGATTAATGGTTAAGGACACTTTTTGACAGAAGATCAATAAGGGGTTGTATAGTTGTAACTACTGTGAGCCAAGCAATTATCATTGTGATAAGTGACTTGGAGTAGGATTTGATTGTAAGGGTTGTGTATCACTCAAAGCTTTGAAGCACGAGTGTTTGTGTCTCTTGATTAAAGCTTTGAAGCAAAATCAAGTTAGGATTGTTTATCACTCAAAGCTTTGAAGCACGAGTGACTGTGTCTCTTAATTAAAGCTTTGAAGCAAAATCAAGTGTGTGTATTGAAGAGTATCTTCATAATCTCATTAATCAATAGTTTAGTATCACTGCTGTGATTGAGGGGGGTGAGTAGGAACTCAGGTTTAAGTTAAACTTAGATTGAAGTTGCATTGGGTAGGTCTTAAGTGAAGGAGATAAACTGGTTGGTTTATTCCTGAATTAATATCTCTTATAGTAAATTTCCTCCCTGGCTTGGTAGCCCCCAGAGTAGGTGTTGTTACACACTGAACTGGGTTAACAATTGATTGTGTTCTTTACTGTTTTTAATTTACTGTCTTGGAGTGTGTCAGATACAGTGTCATAACATTCACTGTGACATTAAGTATCTGTTGCCAGAATTTCAATTGGCATCAGAGCAGGCACCCTGCCTGTCTTACTGGGTGAGATCTAAGGATATTATTTTCTGGCGCTATGGACAAGGAAGGAGGATTTGGGAACAGACCACCTATTCTGGATGGATCAAATTATGACTATTGGAAACCTCGTATGATTGCCTTCTTGAAGTCACTGGACAAAAAGGCTTGGAGAGCTGCTGACAAAGGATGGAACCATCCCACCATAACTGGGAAAGATGGAAC